CGGAAGAGCTAATTTTAGCTAATAAGGAATTAAAGTGAAGAGACCTAGAGCTATTAACAGGATGCTGACCTTGAGTCCCATGATGTAAGCACAGGGCTGGCAAATAAGCTAGGTTGAAGTGTGACAAAATGAGACTATATTCAATAGTTTCAGGGGAAGGTATCACTGTACTTGTTTAGAGTTAATTAAAAACATAAGCCCAGGTTAGTGATGGGATTATCTTTTCTACACTGTTTTTCCAACTCAGTATTTAACTATATATGAAATGTATTTACTATTAAATGGATTTTTTTTTGGTAAATTTTTCATGTCTCCTACAATAGAGACGTAGATAAGAGAAACCAACCCTAATCTACCAAAAAGAAGATGGTTTTTTGACCGAATTCCAAGGCCTGAGTACAGCCTTTACTGTAATGAATATTACTTCAGTGGAAAAGCTGCTGTGAGTCTTTGAGAAACTAGATTTTTCCCTTTATATATTTTTCAACTACATTAATGCCAATTACTTTTTGGGGTGCCTTTTTTACCAGTTTGGTCAATTTTTCTTTAGATTATGCAGAGACACAGCTTCGTACTGAAACAGTGCAAGTATTACTCATTGTTTCACAGTTAGACTTACTGCACACACATATGATCAGAATTAAAGTTTAAAAAAAATACAAAGGAACACTGGAAAAAGAAAGACAATTTAAACTAGTCATCTATTGTTCTAACATTCAGAAATTTATTCTGATGCTCATATGTACTAAATTTTATCCCAGAAGTGTGCCTTGATTCAGCAGGGGGAAGGAAAACAATCTGTTGTCTCTGGGGCAGTCTTACTGATCATTACTTCATCTTGGCAGGATGGTAAGAAATATCCAGAATACAAAGTTGACACAGCTTTAAATAATACTGTGACATGTGAAATCCCTCTGAAATCAATAGCAAAACAGAGCCAAGATTTTACCTCTCGTTAACTCATTATTAGAGAACTCTCATATGACATCTTTACCGATGTCTCAGACTTTCCTACTGTCATGTGTCGTATTTCAACACATAATTCTTCAAAGGATCAACTATGTTTTAATTATGTTCTTTTTAAAAATGTAAGTATGCATGCACCATTGTCATTTCTTAGCAGTTATCAGTAAAATATAACAGCATACTCCCTGTGGTTTTAAATTACCTTCAGCATCCCTCCAGTTCTTTCTGACTTCCAAGTATCTTTTTGTTTTTCTATTTCTGTTCTTAAAACTAGATTTGGGCCAAAGAAAACATGTACAGACTCTAACTGAGTTTGTTTCAGGAGTCAAGTTTCCAGTCAGATCATGATAATATAATTATATTTGGGAAAAGGGAAAACTGCAATTCTAGTTGAACTAGATTTTGTTCAGTTCTGCACTGGAGGTTGAAAACAAGACATGTTAAGGTTTAGAAATAGAGATGTAAAGGCAGTTCGATTCAAAAGTTTCAAATCTGATTCCTCCTGCTAGCATTCAACACAATTTATTTCAGCATAATAGAAGCAGGTTTTAGGTAACCTAAGTGTTTGGCAACAGGCAGCTTTATATATCCACCCTACTTAAACTATCCTGCCTTATTTATCTTCTTTTGGCAAGCCTGTATTCAGTGTTCCAGTTTCTGCATGCCTATGTTTTTAAGTGTGTGACAATACTAATTAGGTTAAACAGCAATGATTGATTTTCAACGAGTCTACTTTAAAACTGCTCTCAAACTGACTCATCCTTGCCAAGTTCCTCTGTTGCTTCCACACAGCCTAGTTCTTCCCTGTATTTTCATTTTTCAGCAAAATTTTTGTTAATCACATGCTCTGCTCAAAAAAAATGCTCAAGGACAAATCCTGTTGCTGCTAAACAAGCCTCACAGTCATCAAAAAAAGAGAACCCTCTAAGATGTTCAAGTCACTCAAAACTGTTAAGCTGCTGCTTTTCGTGCTGCCAGTAAGAACACTGAGCTGAACAGAACACCTTACGCCACCCTCAGTCACTGCTGTTTTCCTATGAACTTTTGCTATTGCAAGTACCATGCCATATAAACCCTTTGATACATTTTAAAAACTTCATCTTAAAATACAATTATTTTCCTCATCATACAGACTGTTCCTGATCCAGGCTGATCTACTGATTCTAGTTTCCAGCATATTTGTCTCCTGCTTATATCCAGTTATTCCTATCTGTCAGCTTTAATAATCTTGCATCATTCTTCTCCAGGTTTTATTTTCCTGGGGTTTACCCTGAAAAAATATTCCCTGTCAGCTTCATTTCACAAGGTTCATTTCTCTGAAACACTCCTGTAGTCTCTTCCTCCAAGGCAAGCTTTTTCATCTCCCCCTTCCACTCCCCCTTCAGATTAAACCCGTCTTTCTCACCCTTAGATGAGGTTCCATGTTTGCCTTATGCATTAGCTGAGGGTCCTATGTTTCTCACACAGATAGTAAAAGTCCAATTAAAAAAAAAAAAAAAAATCCTAGTCTTCATGCTTTCTATTTCCCTGATTAGTAACACTGTCTTCCTGTCCTGTTCTTTTATGGTATTTTTGGGTTTGACATAGATTCTATCCTATGTCAAAACGTTTAGGCAGCAAGATTTTTGCAACTGTTAAGTACTTTTCTAGTTTTTACTGATCTCACCGCAGTCTCATCTAGAAAACACTGTTCTTAATAGGCTGTTTTCCCAGCAGAGTTTTCCAGCTTATTGCAGTCCTAATCTTTCCTCTTTCACATAAAAATTTGGCTGCATATTTTGAAAATACCAGAAAGATCTCCCCAGAAGTAAGGTAAATTGCACCTCGCATGTCGGTTGAAATATGTCATTCATATGAACACAAAGAAAGCAACTGTAGTGACTTTAGCACAAGTGTTATAAAACTTTTCATTTAGAAACCATCTCAACAACAGCATAACAGATATCTGAGCATCTTACAGATGTTTTGCAGACTGGCACATCTACGAAGCCTGATCGGTGTGGCTCACACAGGCATGCAAATGTGATACGAGTTACTATGCTTATGGTACTGTGTTGGTTATTTTCACAAATCTTTTCAAAACAGGAAGCATTCAAAGCTACTTCTGTTCCTGTTTTGATGTGCTATGCACATAACATACCTTGGTTACACACGTTGTGTATTTTCAGGTCAAAATTTTTCAGATCAAGATCTGCTTATTTCTTTGGCTTTCTACCTCGAGAATGAGTATTTTCAAGCAGGATGAGAAAATAAATTCAGCATGATTACTGCCTTTGATAGCAATTATTCAAGCAAAACAGTACTGTAAAATAACTTCTAATAATCTGAGTTCAATAAAATATTTCATATATGTCCATTATTGTCTAGAGGACTATTTTATAAAGGTTTCAGAATGTCTCCAACCAAGGTGATTCCATAAATAATTCTTGCACAGTGGTTTCTAAGGTATCTTGTGTCTCCTTTGTGACGTAAACTGGTTGTTATGGAGATGGTAAAATATCAACCATTCTTTGTGAGACTGTGCAAGATCAATTTTGGTTCCGTTACAGCAGCTTCTTTTCTCTGCTCAGCTATAATCAGCTTTCCTTAGCAACAGAAACAGATGTATAAAAGGTATTAAATGTTTTAAAACAAATGTTTGCACGATACTTTTAACTGTTTGACACACAGAAATAGACCAGTGTGCATTTGTAACAGATGCAAATTCCATCCCAAATTCCCCAAAATTCAAATAAGTCTAATGGCCTTCAACAGATATGAGGCTACTACAGTTATGAAGATTTAACAATTTACAAAAAACCAGACCACTCCCTTTTCATTCCCTATTTTTAATTTCATAATCTATACCTTACAAAAGTATTTTTTGCTTCTTAAAGCAGGAAGGAAAAAGATTAACATCTTTCACCCCAAATTTAGGGAAAGTACGTAAGGGACTTTTGTTCAACAGTGTGTTAAAACTTCCTAGAGCTTCGAGAAATAGAAGGAAAAGGGTTATGTCTGGGGAGTAGTATGTAAAAATATGGTCTAAGATACTTGGCTGGGCTGCCTGTAGATTATTTTTGTCCATTTTTAATCTATGCTAGTCCATATGTCTATGTGTGCAGGTCACCAGTCAATGATTAAGGTTAAAGAACACGTATCTGAGTCTGGGTTTTGCACAGTCCTACAGCAAGACAGGAATGAGGGAATTCCACCTTCTCCTCCCAGTCTATATTTAGAGGCACAGACAAGCACACCAAAACACAGAGTATTTGATCGGAACGTCAGAAAATTTTCAAGGAGACCCTCAGTTATTTGCAGATTATCTGTACTTTTATGGAAACGTTACAGAGAAGAAAATAATGAAGATTATTAGAAATCCATTTTGTATATTCTTATAGTACATTCATTTTACTGAACAGGGGCCTAGACGTAAAGTAGAAATACAGCCATAGGGGAGGGAAGATAAGATACCCTTTTCTCCTGCTACGTGGAAGTGGCAACAAAGTGTGCATTGCAATCAGCGGAGACAACCCAGATAGGAACGTTTGCCTACCTCAGGTGCCATCCAAAAGGGTGTTCCCACTGAGGTGTTCCTACGCAGCCGTGTGCTGGTGAGCTGGGCTGAAACACCTGCAATAAAACAGACCCAAAAGACCTAGCTTCAAATTCTGTCTGTCATTTCAGTCAGTTTATTTCAAGTATCTGGAAAACAAACCCCAAGCCTGGCAGTACAGCTGCAGAACGCCTGGCCAAAGTAGGTGCAGCATTTGTACTGAATTCTTTGTTTGATTAATTTCAGCTTGCTGTTTTCATTCAGAATTGCTGAGAGATTTTTTGTGAATGACACTCAGTTTGAAGCTCTTTCATTCAAACTCAAAAACTCAGTTGGCACCTAAATATTCCAGACTTCTTTCTGCTGTTTTCATGAGTACAAACAGGAACTATTCAAATTGCAACTTGACTTTAAAACTTCTGTTTCAGAAATTTACTCCCTGAACACCGCTGGCAGGAAACTTGTTCACTAGAGCATTTGCAGAGGCTCCTGTTCAACAAAAGATTTATCCACTCTATTGAGAAAAGCATGGAAGCTCAAGCTCACACTGCATCTTGTATTTAAAGAGTTAAGCACATGCTTAAAACAAAGCCTGTGCTTCAGTGCTGTGCTGACTGGGGCTGGACTACTGAAGCACAGCTGAAAAAAGGAAGAACGAACTAGAGTGAAATCAAACAACATTAACAAATCAGAATGAACTTTCACAGCAAATCTGTGCTCTGATCAACATATAATTGATTTGTAGAGTTCAGGAGCATTCCAATAAGTTAACACAAAACCAACATTGACTTAAAAACATATTTCACCATAACATTGTTTAAAAACAAAAAACCCACAGTGGTCTGCTCCTATGGCATTACCCAGAGACAAAAAAGGGCAGAAATACATATAATAGACATTGCCTAATACCAACAAATAAGAAATTGGGACTCATAATTCAAAAGTTAAATAATTTGATTACTGGCTCCAAGATTCAATTCTGTATTTATTTTTCATTTTCCAGTGTGATTGCAAGGCTTCAGTGATTTCCTGATTACTGCTGTGAAACAGTTAATGGCTAGGACCTACAACAAGCCTCTGTCCATTTAACTCCGATCTCTCTTCAGCTAGCTTAATTTGTAGCTGCTATCTACGGACACTTCAAAACAGTGCAGAATACCAAAGAGCTGAGAGAGGGAGACAGCATGAGTGAGCAAGCATGAGCATAAATGAATGATAAATTGCAGACCTTTTGGGTCGACTTACACTGTGACCAACATTTATTCAAATACATCATGCTGTCGAGAGCAGTTGAGGGAAGAAATGTGTGTTACATTGAAAAAACAAGTTGTAACGTCATGCAATAAAGGGGGAAAAAAAGCCTCAATTAAGGATATCTGTGTAATCCTCTCTGAGGCCTAATATCCATATGTACAGCCTTGAATATGAAGTAACTTTTTATCTTCAAGATTCTGTCTCATTCTTTGGACAGAATGCATAGTGTTCACTGAATAGGTAGTCATTTAATATTTTTTTAATCCCCATTGATTTGAGTTCTAGTTACTTATTTAGTATATCCAAGCCTATACTCAATTTAAAATTATTATTTTCTTTTCCTTTTGACATGTTTCTTTTTGACATGTTTCCTTCCCTCCTCATCAAACAATAAATCTCCTTAACATTCCTGCAAAATGGGAGAGGATTATTTATTTGTTCCAGGGATTAACCTAAAAATATCCAAAGCATCCACTGGTTTTAGGTACTTAATCTGAGATCTTTTAGTTTTCAGGTACTCCACATGCCTCAAGGAGAGCTGTAATAGATCTCAGCTGAAGTTCAAGAACACTTCACTCTTCTGCAAAGGAGGACAAGATGTTTCAAACTGGCTATCAGGAAAATGAGGAACAGAGTGCCCACTTCTAAAAAGTTTTATGCAAGTGACCTGCCAACATCGCAGAGAAACACTGGCAGAAGCAAGAATAGTCTCCAATTTGATGCCATTCAACTGTCTGAACTGCGAGTCCCTTCTCTTCCTGAACTCCTTGCATTGTTCACTATATCTTCCACTTTCTGCAACAAATGAGACAAACAGTTCTACAAAGAGTATCACCTATGACTCAGTCCTAATTCGTTCCCAGAGTCCCTTCTGTGACTACGGCAGTGGGCTAGAGGGGAAAAATAGCAACTTAATGAAAGCTTGGTGCCTGCTGCTTCTTTAGTCGGGAAGCTCACAGATACGTGGGCATTTCTTGGCATTTCCTAACTGTTAAGTGTTAGAAAACACTTGAGATTTAACTCATGTCTTTTTCTCAGGTAGTCATATTTGTTGTAATTTTCTAGTGTTACTGCTGTAAATTAAAAACTAGAAAAAAAACCCCTAAATCCTAAATGTGGAATCAGGGAGATCCATGGGACACCAAAAAGGTTGGGATTCTCAGTTCCTTGAATGTGTCACTTCAAGTTGCAGCCTTTGGAAGCCAGAGCTCCAAGCTGAGCTTCTGCTGCAAGTAAGGCCTTTGATACATCTGATAAAAACATTTTGCTTTGGGGAGAAAAGCCAACATTTCCCAGAATGGAGTAGTTACAAACAAAGATCATACTGCCAAAATTCCCCCAAATGAGAAGGGATCTTCCTCCCTTGTACTAGGTCAGGGACTCATTCCAAGTTTTGCTTCAGGCCATATGTTTCTCCCAGCCTATTTTAATTGGTGCCTTTACCATTCAACATAATGAATTTCTGCCCCTAGAAGATACTAAAGAGTCTCCTGTTTCCCAACTTATCTGAGTATCTTCAAGAGATTTTTATGTTAAATGTGTAATACCATGACAACATCAGTATTAAATTTTCTTTCCACTGCATAAATTTATTTTTTAATTTTTTTTTTAAATATTACTATTTGCAGAATTTTTTGGCACACCATTTTACACTACTCTGATTTTGTGAACATTTTTCTTTACCTTCATGCACTGCTAAACAAACCTCTGTTATTCACACAATAGTATTCTCAATGATGATTACCTTATGCATTATATGGTTTCATTAATAAATCATATTACTAATAATCTGTTTCTGTTACCTTTAGTAAAATTGTCCACTCCATTGCATACATATCTGAGGGACTACAGGATTTCTTTTCCTAAGTGCACGTTTAAAGGGAAAAAATTGCTGAACTGAGTTAAATTCTATTGTCAAGTCCCTGTCTGTCTATCTATCTATCTATCTGTCTGTCTGTCTGTCTGTCTATATCCCCCCCCCACCACCATTTCTTATGCAATGCTCAAATCTAACAGCAATAAACACAAATTAAATGGATGTTGGGTTTTGGACCCAAGGGATCATTTTACCTTCTGCTCAGAGGGAAAAAAAATGCTTAAGGCTAGCAAAGGCCATTTCAGAGAGAAGAATGTTTTCTTTTCATATGCAAAAGAGAGAATATCTAAATTTAAATTAGGAGGACAACTGCCCTGAAACTGACATTCCTTGTGAAATGCAAAAGAGCTCTGTAAATAAAATGGTACCTTCAGAACTATTTTTAATTATTATGTTTAAGCTTTTGAGCTAAAAGTCTATTACTGATTTTCTGTTAGAATTTTTATTCTTGCTGTATCAGGTTCCTTCTCCATTTTCCTTAAAATAATTCCAAGTATCCTTCTGAAAAAGTCTCTCACTATGGCATTCTGCCTTCCCAGGGGAAAATAAACAGATGCCTTTGGCTAAACTGCATGTATCAGGAAAACAAATGGGAAGTGGTCATTACCAAAGTCAACGAGCTTGACTCCACCTTCTGTTGTCAGGAGAATGTTGTTCCCTTTCACATCACGATGAATGATCCGGTTATTGTGTAAATGCTGAAGGCCCTATATGCCAGTAGTAACAAAAATAAGTTTACTCCCTTATTTAAAAACAATTACCCTACTATTAGGGAATGTAATGAAGACAATCTGCACATACTCTATAAAAACATCTGTCCACTGGATTACATGCTTGATACAACCCCTGCTGCTATAATAGCCTGCATAATATTGTCAACATCATCATACTTTATAAATGGAAAATGTATGTATGAGATGAGTAAATTGCACCCTCTGCTGTCATTACAAGCCCAGTGAACATCCTTACCAAGAGAGCACCATATAAGATGTATGAGATTATAGCTTCATCCAACCGTCGGCCACACTTCAGCAGGCCTTTGACAAGCTCTGTGACAGAACCTCCATTGCACAGCTGTAAAGGGGGGAGTTGCGAGGGGCGGGGGAAGCAAAACAAGTCTTCAGTTACTCAATATACTTGTTTAGGCTGTAAACACCTACTGTGCAAAACTGCACTACAACACAAGTCTGGGAACAACTAGATTTTTACCTTGCAATTATTTACGTTGTCACCTTACCTTAGAATATATTTTATTAGCAATGTTAATAATAAATCACAGCAGCCTGGGTGGGGGGAGGGAAGTGAAAACCAAAGATTATAAAGTGTAATTTATAAAATGTAATTAAAATTCAAAATATTATTAACAGGAATGTATTTTGTTGTTAAAAGAGGATTTTCAAAATAATACATGCATTGCCTTCTTGAAAAACTGCTTTTGTGCAAAAAGGCCAGACAGAAAAGATTGATGCTCTTGATAACTGGGAGGCAACAAATTACAGTCATTTTAAACTTTCACTCCATCAATGCTCCTGCTGGCAGGCAATATAAAGTAGACAGAAGCCATATCTCTATACTCAGATTTGATGGCATGTGCTGCCAACAACTGAGCTGAAACATTCTGATCCAGAAAAGCAGCTTCTTGCAAGCATTTCCCACTAATGGGCTGCCACACATCAAAAGAGGAGGAGAAAAAGTAAAATTAGAATCTTTGTAAATATATTTTCACCCACACCATTAGTTTACTGTCCATGCCCTTCCAAGCAGTTATTCGCCTCTTTCCTTTCTCCTCTTTCTCTGTCCTTTTCTTACTTTAATGTTCACAATTATTCGACCAAAAAAATGATGGGAGAACTGATTGCCTGCCTTTCACTGGATTTTCTCCTCTAGACCTGTTTTTGTAGCCCAGCACCCTTACCAACATTTCTGTCATACAGAAATCACATGCATTTCAAACAAGTTCTTTCTACATTATCAGTACTAAGTTTAAAATACTACAGCGTAAATCAGGAGAATGCTATGAAAACAGAAGTTCTACAAACTCTCAAGTTTTGCATCTCTCAAATAGTTTTTATGAATTGTGTATCAGTTCAATCACTAATGTCTGTGATATGTCGATATTTTCCTTCATTTATTACTAACTTCCCCTTGCATCAAAAAATTTCACTAAAGTTTTTGTTCATGGAAGGGACCAGATCACATGATAAACAAGACATTCTTTATGTAAATAAGTTCCTGAAGCAAAATTTCATGACTGAAAACATTGATGAGTTCTGAAGGAATTTGATTTTACTTTTTAATTCATTAGCAGGGAATTTTTTTTTTTTTTTTAATCAATTAGGTAGGAGCATTCAGCTCAATATCAATCATCAAATGTATTTACAGGAGAACTTCATCATCTCAAGAAAGTAGATGTTTTTGTTTCGATGCTTAACCATTTGCTAACAACCCATTAAGTCAAAGATTTTTGGTTTTTGCTTTCATTGCACTAAATGTTCTATTGAGACAGGCTGTACTAAACTTATCTCTGGCCTGCAAATAAAACATAGAAAAGTATGCCCTCACTTAAAAAAACCCGAAGCTGGTTGTGACTGAAAAATGATACAGACTGACAGCTGTTTGGTAGCATATGTTAAATGAAAGACTGACTCTGAAAATAAATATATCCCACAAACACTATTGCAGCTGTCAGTGACACTGTTCTTGACAGTCAGCAAAGATCTGGGACAAAATGAACTTGTAAATTTCATTACCACTTTATATCTAATGGTAATACTTTAAAAAGTGGACTGATGCACATTTAGATGGGAAAGTAGGGAAGCTTGCTTTACAGTTGTCTGTGCTACACCTATTTGAGAATTGCATCATCATAAAAATATTTAAGGGGTCCACTTTTGCTACCCTACCTAGGCATTTATCAAAGTAAGGTCCTGCTTGTAGTGAGCAAACATGGCAAAATTGCACCTAAAGAAAAAAAAAACCCACCTTTTTATTACAAATTTTGGAAGTCACCATGAATATATTTCATCAAAGACTGAGGGATCAAAGTCTGAATACTTTGTATATTCCCTTTTACTGAAAAAGTGTCCTTAATTTATAATACAAAAAGTAATGACTATGAATACATAAATTTGCATGTAAATTCCAAGGCAAGAAATAGTTTGCCTTGTCTGGTAGATTTATCTGTATAAGGAAAACACATTTTTTTTAATATCAAATTGCTTTAAAACTTTGGATAATATGCACCAAAAAAAATCTGTAATGAACACACTTATTTGATAAGGTCTGTACAAACACCTAACTTTCTCAAATTCTACATTCAATTTTGTTACATAGAATATGTCACGATTTTGCTTTACAAAGTTTTATTATATGGAATACTACATGTGATGCATCTGGTGGATATGCTACACTTGTATTAAAAAAGAACACACATGGGAAACCAAGCCCAAACTCAACACAAAGCCAGCAGGCATCCAGTAAATAAACAACACCCAAACAAAAACACTAAAGCTCCTTTTTTAATAGTTACTGAAATTTAAGATGAAACACATCCAAAAGTTTTCATTCAAGCTACATAATTCTGCAGAACATAGAAGTTCGATGTATTGTTGGTATTCCACAACTTGAAGTGGAAATAAAGATTCCCTATTCTGATTCTAGTCACCATTCAAGAACAGGGAGTGGAATTTCAAAAATGATCAGTAATTAAAAAGTGAATGCTAACTTTTACTGCTCTAGTTATAAGAGAGAAATGTTTGAATGGTCTGTTACTGCTCATCAGTCTGTGCAAAGCTCTGTATCGATTAAGCCTAGAAAAGATCTAGAAGAAATCCCCATCTCACAAGAATCTTCGTCAGTCACTTAACTGGCAACAAGACCACCAAAATACATTTTGCATTGCAAGAATACTGATTGCCACTGAACAAGAAGAGTTAATAAAAGGCATTTCTGTTGCTAGGTCTTCAACAACAACCAGCCTCTAGTTTTAAATTACCATAAAACAGACTTTCCCATTACATTTTCTCTGTTCACATTTGCAACAGGCAGCATGTTTGTTAACTGTCCTCCATGTTACTACTTCATAATCTTCTGCACTTCTAAAGTGCTTGAGCTCTCCGTAAATTGAGAGAGATGTCTTATCTAATGTTTCCTCCAACATGAAAAAAATAAAGCTGCTTTTCGGCAAACCATTCTTACCAAAAGGATTTGCTTGTCTTGGAGGCAGAACGTAGCAACTTGAACAGAAGTAAAATGCAAGGACATTCCCTACTAAACAAACTTTAAGTTGGGAAGTGATTTTCAACAGTAGGCTACCAGACATCATCTATCACCAGTCCTTTGATTAACGGCCCCAGTCAGAGAATCATGAAAGCCTGTGACTCTTCTAGCAATAAAAAACAGAAACCCAACATTTCCTAGTTAAGACGTAACATTATCAAAATGTTTTTACCTCAAGTACTAGCCAGAGCTGTCCTCCCACATATTGATCTGCTTTGTAAAACATCCCATAAAATCTAACAACATTAGGATGATTGGGAAGAAACTGCAAAATATTATATTCTGCTTCAATTTCTTCATCTACATCCTAAAAAAAAAACCACAAACAGACAGAACATATAAACACAGTAAGTCCGTACAAAGCAAGAAAAAACTCTCATGGATAAAAAACCCCATTTTTTAATTAGTTTGTACTTTTAAATGATTTTACTGTAATGCAGCTGAAAGTACTCACACAATACTGTAAATTTAATCCACACCAAATCATGCCACTTTTGCTTTTTTTACATACAGAAACGTGAAGTCTGTGTAAAGCAAGCAGTTGTTCCTCAAGGATTCTTTCAGTGCATAATATACTTAACCAGAAAGGTAAAAATTATGCTTAACTTTGCTCAGTTGTCTAAATAAGAAATTTACACATGTATTATCTTCTAACCTGTTTTAGACATGCATATTTTTAATGTGTAAGATAAATGTAAATACATGAAACTTTGACTCATTCTTTTTTCTATCGTCATCAGATGGGACCAAAGAGAGAACAATTTCACAAAACCTCAAAGGGGACATCAGTAAAAACAAAGACATTCTTATGAGGAAAAGACATACACCAGAAACAATTGAAGAGAGACAAAACAAAACCCATGAAATAGGCAAATGTTACTAAATATTTGTTAATGAAAGAATTCTGTGACAATTACAAAATACTGTTCAATATCAGCACACGGGCCACAACTCAGAACAGTTCTTAAGCACTGAATCTTTCCTTGTTTCTGCACAGACTGTGACTATTAGAAAATTGAAGCTCTTACATGTATTTTCCTTTTTTTGCATTTTGCTAAAAAGGATATCCTCTTATTTATTACCTTCTTCAGATTTATACAAGAGAAAACCAAGATGAATTTCAGTAGTGGTAGATGACAGAAATGTAACTTTTTTAGCAAATATTTTAACCCAGCTGTCATGATCAAACTCCAGCTTGACCCAACCTGAGCAGCTCCCAATTAAATCTTCCAGTGGAAACTAGAGCCTTGGTTCTCAAGGGAAGCTAGGCATTTAATACCCACTAAAACTGGAGCTGGCACAGAACTACCTCTGAGAATTTGGGCTATGCTCTTCTTCTGTTTTTATCTTAACTATTGCTTTGCAGTATTATCCACTTATAAAAGATAACGATAAAATATCCTAAAGTTCACAGTACTTCTGTGATGGGAAAAGTAATTCTTTTAGGGAGTACACAGAATAAAGTAAGAATATTAAGATTAACGGCATCTTGTATTTTCCCTGCTGTAGCAGGCCCCTAAGAGGAATGCCTCTATGCCTTCTTATCATTTGCATGCTCCAAGCACAGATACCTAAATTTGTACCAGCAGAATTACATTGACCTAAAAAAGAAACTAGGCAAGTGCTGTCTTTGGGTAACACACAAGATGATGAACTTGTAAGTTGCAGCTTTCAGGTGCTGGTACCAAACTGCTTCTGTCAATGCATTCTGCAAAATTGTTCACTTCAGGAGGCTTTCAATATCTTACACATTTGATTTACATTTCAACTCTGTTTGAAAATTCTTTTAAATTAACAATGACGTTACAGTTTAATAGTTTTTACTTACACTGATAGGATCCAGAATCTTTACTGCTGCCAGACTCCCATCTTTCTTATTGGCAACCTTATAAACTTTACCGTAAGTGCCTTTCCCAATAGTCTCTATAATTTCCCAGGTATCTGAGGGATCGGCTAATGATTCTAGTCCAATCATACTGGAATTATATTGAAACAATCCATACAATGGCTTCCTGGAAAACAAAGCAGACACACACACAGTGGAAAGCCCTAAGTAACTCTGTACTAAAGAAGGTATCTTATGATAAAGAAAAATATTGTCTTAATTTGAGAAGAAGTACAGATACAATCACAAATGAAAACCAGACAGAAATATAAGATCACTAAATGAAGGAATGGAAGGAAAACTCTGGGGACCACTTCTCTTTACTTCCTTTGCTGTATGTATTGTTTGCTTCAAACATTGCCCCACACACTGCATCATTCTGAACATGTTTTAACAAGTTCTGACAAAATCTGTTCCCTCCCTCTACTACATGCTCTTTAATGGACATTTTACACAATTGGTTTAACATGGCTCGTGAAATGAGGCCCAATTTCTTGTGCATTAAAAAGCCATGACATGCTTTTAACATATTTTTATCTAATGCTCCCTGGATAATTGCCAGACAGGCATTCAGTAGGTGTAACACCTCATCATACCTGATATATCTACAACAGGGCTATGTATAACTAGTTTAATAAAAGTTAAGACTGGGCTGGCTGGTATCATAAAATACAAACTAACTTGATAATAGGCAGCAGGTACACCACTGGCGTGACGTTCATCATTGGAGATGTTTCTCAACAATTGCACTTGTCTCTATCTCTGTATTTCAGTCAGAGTGTGTTATGGTCAGCTACACTGTCTGACTGCACCTCCATCTTCAGGCTATCTCCTGGTCAGGGGAGTCGTTTCCCCAAACACTCCTGAGTGATGTATGGATCACTGAAGCCTATGCAGAGGACTTGTCCACCCTTGGGATTACACAGACAGAAAGTTCTGGTGATTATGAAAATGACGATACCATTTTAGGATTTCATTTCAAGTAGTGAGAACCTAGATCTTGCCCCTGAACTGGAATTAAAGAAAGGAAAGATGAAATTTAAGATGAGATTAACTTAACCTTCTTATATAACTCATCATTAGGGAAGCTGACTGGTTTATGGTTTCTCTAAGAAAGAATAATATTTGCCCATTTGGTAGCTGTCAGTAGGTGGTCAGACCACTTCAGCTATCTGTACACTTAACTAGGAGATGTAAAGTCTGTGATCCGTGAACAAACTGAAGGAGAAAAATAAGAAAGTGATCTTGACAAAAGCAATTGAAGACACCACCATTGCTGATTGCAACAGCTCTTGATTTTTGGAGATGGATCAACTAGCACCTCAAACATACACTTTCATTTTAAGGTTTGAGCCATTTCTTTTTAAGCATGTCTGATATCTGCAAACCTGCTTGAAATGATTTGAAAAATCTCCTGTCTCATTTACCTCTTCACCATTTCCAGCATCAGTGACAACTGCCTGGCATGAGAAATTTAGTCAGAAAGAAATGTGAGCCTGGCTGAGGAAACTGATAAATTAGTAAGGAATGAAGCAGCAGCTCTTCTATCTAATTGAAGAAATAATTGTGCTTTCTGTTCATGATAAAGAAGAAAATAAACTGTGTGCAAATTCACATGCAGTACATGTGAAATATTCAAAATGGAAGCATATGTATAAACTCATTTGCATGCTTTGTTCCTTTCCAGAAGAAATTTAAAAATTCCTTTAGACCCTAAGACAAAATGTCTACATGTTCTTAAATTAATTTACCATATAGCAGATGCAAAACATGGCTGTTACCAAAGTCAGGTTAGAAGAAATATAATCTTTTTTTAAACAATGGCAGACACATCTAGAGAAAAACTATCTCCTTCCTTCGTTAAAACTGTATTTGCGCCAAAGATGGTGCCAAATAATATATCAAATTGCTTTGGTCCCTTGACTAAACAAAGGCAAAGAAAAGAAGGAAAAAGAAGGGAAGGGGGAAAAAAAGCTAGAGTCGGTGCCATTTATCTGTTGTGGGTCAACAGCGTAAGTTATTAGGACAGTTTCTCACTACTTGGATCCAATACAGCATGCCGCAAATAAAGAACAGTATTCCAAACGCATATAGTTAGCACCTCAACAGAGAAGCAGGTCAGGTGAAAGACTGCTCTGAAATCAGTGAACAGACTGTATTACATGCACTGAAGACAGCAGCCACAGACATGTAGCTCCTGATAAGCCAACCTTAAGAGCAAGGTTTGCTTGCAGGGTGGGGGGTGGTAGTGAATACAAACATAAATTAGAACAGTTGCATCTCAGGTTAAAAAAAACCCCCAACATATTGAACATGTGTGATTTAAATGCTTTAGGAGAAATGCTACAGATGTTCATGTGCAAAGAAACAGAGAAGAATAGACTGCAAACAGCTTTGATGCAACCTTACAAAAAAAAATAAAAAGGAAAAAAGACTGATATTTATTTCACTGTCACTATAATAACTACCCTATCACACAGATTGTCCAGAAAATGATGCATGGCACTCTTTGTACCAACGGAATATTTATAATGATGCTTCCCTCCAAGCAGCTGTTGTGGATAAATACGTTTTTCCTTAAAACAAAACAAAACAATCTAGTGTCATTGCCTGCTTTTGTTCTAATTAACAAGTAACCCTTAAAATGGTTACTCCAAATTTTTGAAATACATTAACATTTCTTTATACCAGAAGACAATGTTGACAAAATAATATCTAACGCAAACTTGTTACAGATGGAGTCCTGGTGGAGGACTGAAGAAAAATTTTAGTGAGTGAGCACTTCTATGCATTGTGATAACAAGGCAGCATTTACAGGTAGCATGTTTATGCATTACACGGAATCAGATTTACCAAATATGTACCATAAACCTCTTCTGCTTAAACTAAAACAGCCTCTTCTTGAGCTCAAGCAATACATGTCTAAATGAGGTACTACATCTGCCACCAGTGAAAGTGCCCATTGCACACAGGACAGTAACCCTTATGACATTCCAATGATAGATGTGTATATTTTACAGTAAAAAAAAGCAAAAGAACAGTATCTGCTATTATCTTCAATATTGTAAAATCTGGATTTTTTTTTTAAACACAAAACATAAACATTAGAGGAAAAAGCTGAAGTTGTAAAGTGAATTTGTGCTTTTCTTTTTCTATTTCCTGATTTGCTAAGCTTCACAAAATAAAATGCCCTTGTTTAACAAGGGCTGCCATTTACTTTTTATTTCTACAGTGAAAAGTTACGTATGAATGCAACCACTTTTACAACGATCCCATATTCAGAAGACCTTAACACTAAAATGCTGAAGCTGAAATTTCTTTAGGAAGAAATTTCTCCTTTCACTCCCCCCACGTCAGGCCTCACACCTCTCTGGGCTTTGAAATGATGTCTAGAGAGTAACTTCTAGCTGTGAAAAACTTAGCAATGCCCTCCCCAGAGGGAGCCTCAACCTGTTAGAGACCTACTGATTACAAGTATTTCATGATTTCTGCCACCAGCTGGAGAAAACTCCTCAGCAGTTAAATCTGTTCCATGCAGGCAAGCGAAATAGCCCATACCAGATGCTGAAAAATTACACTTTGGCAATTAACTCTACTGGATGGGGAACATCTTACACAAAGCTATTTGGGACTGCACATACTAATGCCATTTGAGGAATGACTACATGCTATCAACAAGCCCACAGCACTCTACCAAACCCTGTTTTGCATACTTGGGAAGAGACAGAATGCAAAGCAAAAGTAGGGACAACTTGATGGAGTCTAGTCAAACTGCTCTCAGGCTGAAACAGGGGTAAATAGCATGATTTTTTTTTTTTTTTTTTTTTAAAGCAGAGATAATATACTAACTTAAAATAAATCTTATAAAAGTTGACCAGCCAGGACAACAGGGAGAGACAAAAAATTATTAACAGGCTTCAGCCATTGGCATTGTTTCTTACATTTGTCCATGAAAAGAGATATTCTCTATCAATAAAGAAAATTTCATGGGTTTCTTCGTAACACCTGGGTTTTTTTATTTTTCTATTTTGAAAACCCTTAACAGTCGGAACAAATTAAGTCAGACCAGGCATGACAGACTAACTTAGATGGCAGTCAGGCAAATGTGCAATTAACTTTTATCTACATTTAAAGAAAATATTTCCCTGTAAGATCAACATTAGAATCAATGATTGCATATTATCACCTGTTAACAGTATCCCTAAGACAAACAGACTACATGTATTGTTTGATATAAAAGACAACTTTAAACAAATATGGGTTATGGACAGTGCACATATCATTTTTCCCTCTGTGAACTACAGCCTTCCGATTGTATTCTATGGCTCTGAACAGACTCAAAAAAGCCATCTGGAAAATTATGTGGTGTCCTAGAAGTTCTACTGTGATCTTCACCTGTGTTGTGAAAACAAAACAAAAAACCCAAACCCTATATAGAATAACTACATGCAGACTTTTTTGTGATATAATTACTTCTGGAATAAAATCAGCAATTTTTTCTTACAAATTTATTATCACAGCTATCTTTCTCAGAAATTACAGGGACAAGAGGGACTCATAAGCAAGAAAAGCAGTGCCAGAAATAGCTTTACAATTACTGTTCTATTTTCAGTACTGCCTTACTCAACTTCTACACAACAGTGATTTGCCTATTTCCTTCCAACATGCACCATTTTCTAGCTCACAGTAAAATGAGACATCCTAGAGGTTTTGAAATTACTAAGACCCTCACTCCAGCCTGGTGCTTTCTAACAGTCATGGTACACAGTACTAGACAGTTTTGAATTCTAATATAGCTGGTAGGGACATAATAGCAATACCAGTCAATACTAGTGAAACAAAATTGAACATACTGTTTCCATATGAACAATTCATGCACAGGGCTAATTTTTGCAATGTT